AGGATTTCTGCTATTGAGCATGTCAAAAAGTTGGTCTATTGTGCGGATGAATTTGACTGTTCCTTGACTATCACAAAAACTAGGATGTTTAGTAGAGACATCTAGAAACTCGATTGCATTTGCCACAGATGAACTAAGAGTTTGTGCAGCCAGTCTAACATTCATTTTATGTTTTTCGTATTTAAGGTGATTCATTGAGAGTTTGTTGGCAAGATGAAGTCCTTCCTGTTGTTGGAGTTGCTGTAATTCTTTGATATAGTGCCACTTTATTTCATTTCCGTCACCGTCAACAAAGGATCCAAGGTGGCCAAGAGCATTACGAGCCAGTTTCAACATGTGACATGGATCAAGGATTATATAAACGTCTTCCCCAGTTGTTGGATGCTTAAATGATGTTTTCATTTCATCATACGTGCCGGATAATTTACAACCAAGTATTTCGAATGTTCGGAGGTTTACTGCTGTTCCATCAGCTGTCACTGACCACACCTTCAGACCTGCCTTTGCAGCCTTTTCCAAGGATTTTGACACCAACATCGCTTGGTCTTTGGCTGAGATTTTGTCGATTAGAAAGTATCCAATTGGACATTTCCAATGGCTTCTTGTTCCAACTAAGAGGAAAACCAATGCCTCAGATGCCAGTTTGTCACACTGAACATTTGGAATTTCATTGCCAAGATCAACAAAACCTGAATACTGGTCCTTTTGGGGGTTCCATAATGTTTGCTTGCGAATTGCCATGGCATCGATAACCAGACAACAGTCCTTATTTATAGGGGAAGCATCAATTTGTTTGGATAGCGATGTAAATGGTTCTTCAATAAATCCAGGGTCGCATTTAATGGAAGTGGACCATTTCCTGATTAAAGATGGGTTTGGCAGAGGGATTATTGATCTAACATATTTGTACGCTTTTGGTGAGTAGAAGTAGAGAGTTAACGCAAATTCCTTAACTTCATCTGTGTATCTCCTTCCGCAAGGCAAAGATGTTAGATTCTCTTTAAAGTTATATAAAAATTTTAAATGTGTATTTTTGAAGTTTTCCTGTAGAGTTTCTGCCTCCTTTGAACTGATAACAAGTTTATCTTTCATGATTTTGATCACCTCATCCATGGTTTTTGCCTTTTGTTTAGACCGACGTAGCTGTTGTTGCAAATTCCGAATTTTTTGTGTTAGTTTTTGCTCTAATGCATCTCTTTTTTCAGCAGGTAGAGGTTTGGCAACTTTGGCAGGTGGTATCAGGTTTTCGTGACTGGTTGGAGGGAATGGTCTCTTGTTAGATACTTCGAGTCTGCTTTGTAATTCATCTGGTAGTGGTAGTGGTAGAGCTGTACGTGTGATATTGGACCTTGATGGTATTGCTTTTTTTTTAAACGGCATGTTCCACTTGATGAAGGAGGGATGATGTATTCGGTGATTTCAAAGTGGTCACTGCAAATGCGGCTATAATTGGTTGCTTTCCATGATGCATGTTGGTTGGCTTCTTGAACAAAACATTCCCAGTGTGCTAGGTCAGTTGCATTTTTCTTTGGAAGTCTATAATGGTTGCATATACATAAAATTTGTGCTGCTATTATTAAAGCTCTCCTGGATGCAAAAAATAGCTAAGCAGGCTTTTAACCCACTTAGCCGTAATGTCCCCCAGTGCGCCCTGCTTATTTCTTTTACTTGTCTAACGCCAGATGCTTTTACTTGTCAATGGAGAAGCTCTGCAGCTTAGTGGGTTAACCAAAAAATCTGACAATGTCTCTAGTTAACCAATTGAGCCGCAATTCCACCCCAGTGCGCCCTGCTTATTTTTTTACTTGTCTAACGCCAGACGATTTTACTCGTCAATGGGGAAGTTGGGTTAAACACCATACTATTAGCCCTTTCCAAATGCCTATATTTGAAGGTCAAACAGTTTGCAGAGGATATAATGTAGTTTGTACAAAAATGACTAATATATTTTCAGGAATTTATTGTACATAAGATATATATCTTTATTTGTTTTATTAAACTCAATAAACTGTCTTATTTTCTTGTGTCTGTTGTTTTTACTGTATAATTATGATGATAAGGTTGTCATTACCTGTGAAAAGCAATGGTATTTTCTTCTCCATGGTGAGGAATACCCTTGTTTTTGCACTCACGAATGACACATGTGAGTGGCATGGTATCTTTACATACACTTTCACATAATTAGTATTTTTTGCCTTTTAAATTGCTATTTTGCTGTTGAAAATATTTTTTACTAAATAACTCCCCAGTAATTTGCGCTTTGAAGTTCAAAAAAGGACTGGGGAAAAAAGAAACTTTAATGTTTATATTTGTACTCTTAAAACTTAAATATTCTACTTCAAAACATAATTAAACTGTGGTTGGTAGTTTAATTTTGTTAGAATACCTTTTTTCCTGACTTTCAGAAGTATTAAATTGGAAAACGAATGAGCAAAATAGGGAAATTCACACAAATATTTATGAGTAGACCACGGCAAGTTCCACTCCTCGCTCAACGTTTTTATCAAAAAAGAAAATTTATTTACGACTTTTACACAAATAAATTAAAAATATTTTACTGTAGAGTTTTGAAGGATGTTTTTATCGTAAAAAAATGTACTGGTAGGTACATTTTACGTTGTCTTGAACGATGTTTTAGTGCATTTTGACCCCGTTTTTGGAAATTTAAAAAAACCGCGTTTTTCCGTTGCGTGGAAAGACTGGGTATGACAACAGTGGGCATGCCTGGGCATGGCTTCACATTTCCGGCTGGAGGTATCGTTCCAGTTCTTTTTAGTTCAATGCTTTATACTTTTCACATGAGGACTGGGTTCGAGTCGCATTGAGAAAGTCACTGAGACCTGAACATACGATCTTAGAGGTGAAAGGCAAGTGCGCTAACCACTTCGCCACCAATTATAATTATGTTTGCTACATAGCTAGGGTGAACACCAGACGTGATTGGCTGATTTGTGGTCACGGGGATAAGGTGGATTTAGATAAATACAAAGTATCCCGCCAGGTAACAAGTGAAAAAGTGTTGCCCGCCCAGAGAGGCTACGCACATAAATAAATAAAATGGCGGTACAACTCACAAGTTTATAAACTACGCTTTCACAAATTTTTATTACAAAAAAAGAATGTGAGAGACAAGAAAAATACACGACAGGCAACAGAATACGCTGCTAAAAGCATTTAAGTAGATTCCCCCGGCCTATTTACACCCGGGAAAAGGATCGCACTAGCGAAGTGTAAAGTTCATCAAATATCGCGGGCACGGTTCATGGGTGTACGGCATAGATACAGGAGATGTAGATTGCTAACGCATATACCTAGCGCAGGCGGGGCCTACATGATAAATCCAAGATGGCGGTACAACAGGGCAAAAAGACTATTAATTCGATTACGAAAATCAGGATTTTTGCATTTTTTGCCATCGCATTGTTTTGAAACTTATTCGGTCAAATTTTATGGTAAAGAGAAACTTACCGCGAAGATTTTGAGCATACATATGATTGAATTGGATGAAAACTCGCAAAATTATCCATCGATAGAAGTTCGTGTATAGTACTGATATAGTACTTTATATGTAACTTGTACAATTTTGCTTTAATTTTTGCTCACTATTTGCATAAATAGCAAATTATAACAGACCATAGATGATAGACCCTCATCCAGTGCTCTCATCAGTTTACTTCTCTAACAAGCAAGGAGGGGGGTGGGGGTACATAACAGTTCATTTTTCATAATTATGAGGACACAGCAGATGATGATGAGAGATGCAAGTATAAAACACCATTCACTAGGCAAGATGTTAACATAGCACAGTATTTCTGGCAATAAAACGCTCCAACTGACCAACTGACCATTTCACACGAACTTTTATCGCTGGCCATAATTTTGCCATTTTTCATCTCGAATTCAATCATATATATGCTCAAAATCTTCGCGGTAAGTTTCTCTTTACCATAAAATTTGACCGAATAGTTTCGAAACAATGCGACGGCAAAAAATACAAAAATCCTGATTTTCGTAATAGAATCTATAGTCTTTTTGCCCTGTTGTACCGCCATCTTGCATTTATCATATATCTATGGTGTACGGGTGGTCATCTCACTGATCTCAAAATATGGCTGTTTGCCAGGAGTGAAGAACGGGAAAATTTTAAAAATATATGTAAGAAAGTTTGGAAAATCGTGTCACATAACAAATTGTAAAACTTTTCTTCAATTTTTAAACATTAACTACGATTTGATTTAGTATGATAAATTATAAAGTATAGGGCAAATTTGTTTTGAATTGTTTATGTATGCATGACTTTGTATTAATATAGATTTTGTTCTTGTTGTTCAAGTCTTTCCTATGCATTGTATGCGAAAGTTTCTTAGTTAAATTAACTTTTGTAGAAGTTCATAATAAAAAGGAAAGTAAGTTATTTTCATTAGCGTCCTGTACGAATTAAATTTATTTCATTTCAAAGTGCGAGAAATAAGTTGAAGAGATTAAAATCGGCAAAAAGTCGTTAAAATTCAATTCACATTTAAAACCTTTTACATAGAGTTTCGTTTCGAATTTTACATTAAAATAAAGTCCATGGAAACAAAAATAAGAAATTGATAGTTCTGTATTTAAAAGTGTTCAATTTCATCTACTTTTTGCAGGATTGTACAAAAATATTTTAAAAAAATTATCGTGTTGCCATGACTAACATGACGTGCAACGCGAGCCTGCGTTCAGTGTTGGCGTATTACGAATACTTCATGTTAAAACAATGTTTGGAGAATATAGGCGAGGGGTTGTTACATGCATATATTTCTAGTTTTAATCATAAACTCGTTTGCGCTATAGTCAGCATAGAGATTTTGTCATGGAATGCAATTGTTGTGACTTGACTTTCCTTTCATCGCTACAATCTTTGACAATATAGATTGGGACAATCTAGTTTTCACATGCATTCGGTTGTAGTATACCATTTGCTGATACATATTTTCCACCTTCCCTCCCCCCACCCGTTTCAATGTTGGCGCCGCGCATCCAGACATCAGATTTTTGTTGGCCCAACATTGAACTGGGGGAACGGGGGGCGCTATTCCTTTCAAAATATATGAAATTACAGCAGCTGTCCCATAGTTTCTGGCAAAGATTGTCTTGGTGGTGATCAATTGTGTTTGGAATTTGGTAATTAAACGTTTTAGTTTTAAGTTTATACCGCCAAATTACATATATTCCAGTATCGAAGCATATGTGGGCAAGTTTTGGTAGTTTTAGATACTATCCATTCATTCCGGGGGGGGGGGTTGTGTTATTTTTAACACTTTACATACGAATACAGGTACGTGTGCTACTAGCTATAATGCTTAATAAGCACATTTATATTCACGTCTAATATCATCATAGCTCTCTTCCTTGTGAAAAATCCGCGGAAATTTACTCAAAAGTTACTTGCTGTCTTTGGAATAATGCAAAAGACCATAACTACGACGATCCTGGAACAGAACTATTCAGAAATAATCGGTTTGTGAGTGGGGTAGGTTTAAACTCATCTCACAACATATTAAACTGCGGGGAAAGACAAATAAATATGCATTGTTTTCGCCTTTTACAAACTTATACTTGAGAACTGTGGCCGTTTCCAAGCTAAATTACGTTTACAGTATAAGATTTATAGCACAGTTCAGTAACGCAGCCAGTGGTCAAATTTCATACGTCTCATATTACACGATGCTCACTAACGAATCTCGGTCTAAAACGCTGATTTTCGTTACTATAAATTTTACTTATCTTACATTTTATATACATATGGGTACAAGAAACCATTTTCCTTAATTACAATCGGTTAACTTTGCAGATATCCCTTTTTAAGTTCGTTTTTGAACGAAGCTCACTACAAATCTGTAAACAAATCTATATCTCATTGGCCATTTTATGACAGAAAGGTGAGAATCGTTGCTAGAAAATCATTCGTATCTTAGTCAGTTCGTTACGAAAACTCGTAAAATCGTCCTATCTTGTAAAATATGCTGGACTTTAGATGCCTAGGGTGAATTTGTTTGATATTGTCTGCTATTAAGGCTTTTATGGCGTGTGAGCCCATCAAAATATGGTGAGATTCGTGGTGAGATTCGTTTCTATATGGGTCTCATTGTCACATATACGCGCTTAGTTTACTAACAAGTTGGCTCAGTTGTCAATTTTCTTTAAATAGAGTTCCAATACTGTTACCATGCATGGAATTCAATGAATTGTGACTAAAATATACCACTACAAGCCTTTAAATCTGGTTTTAAATATACGCGATGAAATTCAGCCGGATTTTAGCTATTTCCTAACACACGCATACGCAAGCATTGATAACACAGTACACGCAAATTATCTGTGTGCAACGAAATTGCTAAAGGACCTAAAATGTGTGAAGAACTTATGAAAATTGACTGCGTACACAGCTTGATGATGTCTACAAGTTGAATTAAGTTAAATTTAAGAGTAATGGTATTACTTCAACAGACAATCTTTGACAATATAGATTGGGACAATCTAGTTTTCACATGCATTCGGTTGTAGTATACCATTTGCTGATACATATTTTCCACCTTCCCTCCCCCCACCCGTTTCAATGTTGGCGCCGCGCATCCAGACATCAGATTTTTGTTGGCCCAACATTGAACTGGGGGGACGGGGGGCGCTATTCCTTTCAAAATATATGAAATTACAGCAGCTGTCCCATAGTTTCTGGCAAAGATTCGCTATATAACAAAACGGCACCTAATTATGATTTATGTACGTTAATTTGTTCTGTCCAGAAACATTGGCGGAAAGCATTGAGAAAGAAAACAAAACTACCGCTATTTAGCTCGCCAACATGAGACATGGGACTAGTGGCTTTATGCAACAACTTTCCCAATATAGCGATCAGTGTTTATGAATCATTCTTTAGAAAAGTGATTTCTATACTTCATTGTCATTTATTGCTACAGTAATGCAAAGTGGCGGCATATTACAGAATTTATTTAATCGTTTTTGTTATTGCAAGTTTTGTTATTCCCATGCACAGTACTAGTTACTGACAACAAAATCAAAGGTATACGCTTCAAAATATATCAGTAAAATATAGGAGTTTCAAAAAATAATTGTCAAGCCATGTTCTTCAAACGTTTGTGTCATGTTGCTGTCTCCTTCGAAAACACGCGGTTCAGTTCATGTATTTTCCTATAGAGAGTTAGTAACAAGAATGAGTGGTTTTAGGAGAATGTACGTGTGGGTATTGCATTCAGTTAAGCTTACCGTTATATACGTTGGTTTTTTTGTCAGTTAACTTCCCAGCGAGCAAAATGACGTTTATCTAACGTTGAATCAACGTTGGAAATGACCTTCCAGACGTTGGATAGACGTTGAAAAAGGGTCGACTATGCAAATTGGATCGACGTTACTGTTTCGACGTTGAAACAACGTTGAAATTAGGTTGCCAATCTCGTCAACCATAATTCAACGTTGAATCCACGTTAAAACAACGTTGAGATTGGTTCACAAATCGACGTCGTACATTTAACCATGAATCAACGTTAATTCAACGTCTGTTGGCTGCTGTTGAACCAATGTTTGTAAAACAACGTCAGAGCAACGTAGATATTAGGTTGTCGACGTCGCAACCTTTTTTCTACCAAATTTCAACGTTGAAACAACGTCGTGTGCCCGGTGGGTTGCAACTCTAAGAAATAAAATGGAATGCATCCAGTAATTCAAAACTTTATAAATTACTTATTTATTCAATTAGTTTCGGTTATTCGGTGATTCATCTTATTGTTATTGGTGGAGCGAGGTGCTCCTATCCAATCTCTCGTCAGTCAAAAAAGTGTGGCCAAAAACATGGCGGATTTTCATGTTTGCTGACGCCAATAGACCTTCCCCCATTACAAATGGGAAATTGATAATCAGATGATCAAACTGATTATCAATTTCCTGTTAAATGACTGAAAAACGCCAAACTTCGCAAGGCTATATTATCCGCATTTTACAACATTTCGCAACGAAACTTCGGAATATTACTAATTTTGTGATGCTCTTTCAAGCTGTGATGAAATGTTTGTCCAGACTTGTCTGGATCAAAATTTCACTCAAAAGGGGAAAGCTAGGTCTATTGGTTCCTCCGGCTTATGGCAATTGCCACTGACCAACCGCGATCCTACACTTAAAATAAAATCCTTCACCCCCGGCTGGATTTTTATGAAATTTGATAATAATTTTCGAGTTTCGGCTGCCAATCTTAATATTTTTGTCGAGAAAGAGTGTGTTAGTTTAAAGTTTTTGCTCTGCTTGTAGATGAAACAATTCACTCGAAAGGATTATTAAATTTCTTGTTTTCAAGTAAGATTCACGAAAGTATTATTTCTTTTACTTTTTTTATAAATTAAAATTCTATAGCTTGCCAAAGCTTGGGCTGCTTGGAAACTTTAATTAATAACTTGCCATTTCGATGGAAAAGCATAAATAGATTTGTATATCAAAAACTACCGTGATATTCAGTCAGCAAAAGTATATCATAGTAGATTATTCAGAGGTTGAATTAAAAACTATATAACTATGTCTATGAACTGTGCATGTCTCACCATCAAATAGTTCTGCAAGAGCAAAAAGAGATTAATATATAATTAAAATGTTGTAAACTTAAGTTTTCACTAGAGACAAAAGAATAAGTGAAAAAAGGAAATGAGAAGAAAATCAGCTAGCCACCACACTATTTGAAGGCTTTGGTGTGTCATGTAACGGCCAGGGCATTTTTAGAAATTTCAACTACTGGGACTAAGTCTCAATGAGGGCCTTTCCCCCACACAAGCAGTGTTTACACTGGAGACCTATACCTTACCTGGAACCGACCTAGAACATTACGTTAGTCCTGTATAGTAAACAGTAGTGTTACTAGTGTAAACGCACTAGGACTGACCTAAGATTGACCTAGGACAGATCTAAGACCATGTTTTCAGGCCACGCATTAGAGGTGGCCTGTATACATGGTCTTAGGTCAGTCTCAGATACGTCTCAGGTAAGGTCTGCAGTGTAAACACATTTTCGCTGACCCAATACATGCCCGAGGCTAATTTCCATGACAACAAACGTCAATTCGAGACTTCGAGTCTTTGATGGCCTTTGATGTCAGCACTCAGCGGATGCACTTTCTACTTTTTCATTAATTCATTTTGCAAGTATATAATCGCCAATTCAATGGGACTCGAGCCTTTAGTTAGGTAACAAATGTAAACACACCGTGTAAAGCCTGCATGGCTAGGTACTTCTCAGGTACAGCCGTACAGGTTTCAACAAGGTTAAGCTTTTACTACTGATCAAAAGGGCCCAGCTCATCGAAAAATCATGCTTCATGCAAAGGGCTTTACTGGGGTAAACGCCCCAGTAGTTATATTAATAGTTAAAAAGTGCCCTGAAAGTGTAACTATACCTGAAAAATAATGCAAAAAGTTCATGATTTCTTAGTTTCTGGCAGTTGCATCATATAGGCTGGCTTCGCCACTGAACAAAACCCCAAATAAATCCACCGCAGGTGGAGGACTGGAAGTGAAATTATCTACCAATTTATTCTTGTTTCTGACTTGATGTCGGACTAGCATGTGCGACTCTCTCAGTTCTGACATGTATAATGAAATCCAGTGCAACCCTATAAAGCCCATAATCTATATTCAAGAACTACAATCCTATTCCTAATGGCTCAAGAACCCTCAATCCAACATGTCATTAACCAGAAAGCTATAGTTAGAAATCATATTACCAGATAAACTGCCCACAGCATCCTGAGCTTCTGGCACCCCTAGATTATGCATATCATATTAAACCATCGCACGGCGCTCCGCGTCGGCTCGAGGACGAAATTTGTAAACTTTGCAAGGCTATATTTTCCGCATTTTACAACATTTCGCAACCAAACTATTGCAATTTTACTCATTTTAGTATGTTCTTTCTAGCTGTGGTGATTTATTTGCATCTCCTTGCCTATTTTTTAAATTAGTCTATAATGGGAATTCGAATTGTCTATCAAATGAGATTTAGCTCGATCTCTCATCAATGTAACTATGGGATCAGCTACATTTTGTATTTTGAAATTCACTGCAAATCTCACTAAGGATTAAACTTGCAATTGAATTTGTATAATGCCAATCTTTATATCGTTAGGAAAATCAAAAATAGATTCTCACGAAATAAATAGAATCTAGCCCCAGGGGTTGCGTGGGTGAAATATGTTCACTGATAGACTAACAAATCTAGTTGCATGTCGTGACTTATTAATTATCGTGGATCTGTGGGTGTAAAATTGGTTCAGATAGAATAATAAATTTAATCTAGTTACGTAGTGTTAGTATATCTTAATAATTATCGTACAGAAACTGCGTGGTATATGCCAGTTATACTGTTATATAATTTTATGAGGTGACTAGATATTCCATTTTTATTGCATGAACAGGTCACCTATATCGTGTCAAAATTGTTTTTTAATTAATTGAAATAACATGGCTTAGATTAATTAAGATGAATTGTCTGATTATTGTATGTTCAGATTGAAATGTGAGCGCACTATTGGTATAATTATATATTTTTTTATCTAAATCCCACTCCCCAGCCTTTTTAGACCAAATGCCAATCCAAACCTACCCTGGTTGCCAGAGATTTTCATGGTTTGAAAAGTTTTGAAGGTTGTTGAAAAGAATGGGAAATATAAAAAAATACATGGTCGTGCGGTTCGAGTTCGAAAACTGGACACTGCATGCATGTAGCCCAGTTTGTTTGAGAACAGAACCGCAATCGCAGGCTAGGCCCAGCGGATCGGTTATAGTTGCTATATTTGGATTTTTCGCAGCTGGTGGTGGTTAGGTCTTAAAAATTGTATATATATTCGCAGCCAGCCATGTAGTGGTGGTATACCATGAAAAAATCAACCCGAAACTCAAGTCTATCTATCAGTAATAATAAATAGCCTTATCCAGAGTGCCAGGAAGCACTGGACATACTAAACTAACCTTTATTGTCCGTATCTTTATTACATACGCATGGGCTTGAAGGAAGAAGTTTATCTTTGAGAAGAAACAGCTGGTGGAAGGAGCTATTTATTCCAAGAGACTGCATGCAAGCTTGAAAGTCCTACGGGCCGCTTCTGTTTCTGGTAGAAATATTACTCTACTCAAAACCACCGCTCATGCATGAATGTCCGGATGACTATGATAATGTAGATCTTTCTGATGTTATTGTTGGAGAAAATCTATACCAATAGCGAACAAATTTACATACCGATCGATGGTGTTGTTACTCGTGAATGTACAGTAGTACAGATGAGAATGATGTTGATTTAAGAGTTGCTAAAGCCGGTAATGCGTTTCGGTTTGGATCCCTTCGGACAACAACTGCGCTGGGCTGGCCATGTATAGTTCGAATGCCTTGGTCAAGGTTAGCAAGAAAGATGTTATATTCATGGGTACGATCAAAGAGACCCAGAGAAGCACCTCAATACACTTATGGTCGATCTCTTCGTAAAGCACTGAAGAAAGCATGCATAAATACTGTATTTATGCATGCTTTCTTCAGTGCTTTACGAAGAGATCGACCATAAGTGTATTGAGGTGCTTCTCTGGGTCTCTTTGATCGTACCCATGAATATAACATCTTTCTTGCTA